CGTGGACTGCTAAAAGAACTAACAGATCTGTCCTGGAGGAAGTGCAGCCAGAATGCTCCTTGGAAGTAAGAATGGCCAGACTTCGTCTCACCTATTTTCGTCATGTTGTCAGAAGGGACCATGCCCTGGAGAAGGATGCCATGCTTGGTAGCGTGGAGAGTCGACGAAAGAGGGGGAGGCCTTCAAGGAGATGGATTGATACGGTGACTGCGATGATGGGCTCAATTATAGCAGGGATTGTGGGGCTGGCGCGGGATCGGGCAGTGTTTCACTCTGCTGTGCATGGGGTCGCTATGAGTCGGAAACGACTCGATGGCACTTAACAACAACAACATGTATTATAACACATTTTCTTTCCTTCTTTATTAACAGATACAAAAAAATGAGTGATCCTAAAGGCTGGATCAAGATTGATGAAATTTCAGGGTCAATTATGACTTCCAAAACCCTGGACAGGGAGGAAATGACTCCCAAAAATGACTTATATAATATTACAGTCATGGCAATAGACCAAGGTAACAAAATTTTAATCTGATATTCTATATAGGAATTGAAGAATAAACTTCAAAATGTCATTACTAAAATTGACACAAAATGCTTTATTGGGTAAAATAAAATTAATATTTTTTTTCCTTAGGAATATCAAAATAAGTTTAATTATTAATAATCCTTAGTAATGTGAGGAACAAATACCAAATTGTTTTTCTATGAATAAATAGTCATAATTTGTATAATAAGCTTTGTATAATGTAATATTTGGTTAGTGATAATATCCTGTATTTGTTGTATTTTCACTTATCTTTTACACATTTCACATATATGGAATTTTACTATAACCTTGTTATTATTCCCATTTTAAGAAAAAAAGAAAAATAGGACCAAAGGGATTTAGAAATTTAAGATTGAGTCCAGAATTATTTTCACTCACTTGTGCTGTCTCTTTAAGAAAAAGTCTATAATGTAGAGCAAAAGATTATAACCTCTTTTTACTTTTTAAATACCTTCATTGAAAAGTATGTCTGTGAAAGATTCTCTTACAACTTTTCTTCTTAAACATTTGGCTCCATTTGTAATAAAGTTGTTTTTATTTCTGAAGACTACTTCCATTTTCACATTTATTAAACATTATGGATTTGTGTAATTGTAGAAGTTCATATTTTCTTGTCTAAGATTAACAATATTTGGATTCCTTGCCCTGTTCAAATACTGAGACTGAGTATGCTACAAACGCTTAGATTAATGGAAGCAAATATTTGATTTAAAGAATTATCTAGTATTTGATTTGAAGTGCTTTCAAAATTCACATTTTAATATTCAAGGAAGAATATCAGAGTAACAGAGTCCTTCATTATCCTCTAAACTATGCCCATTTTGTTTTTTTAAAATGGGAAAAACAGGGGCTGACTCCTTCAGTTCCCTGGCTAACATGAGTAGCCTGCTGTGAATTAGAATTTATTGGTTTATCCACCCCCTCCTTAACAGTATAGCAAAAGCAATACAAATAAATTCCTTATATGAGGGGAAAAAAAAGTATTCCAAAAGCTAATACAGTAGTTTAAAATGCAGTGCAGGTGATGTTGGGAGGAGGGTGGAGTCCTTGGACAGTGTTTAGGAGGTTTCTTCCACTAGCAGGATTAATTCATAATGTACGCTTTTTTTTCTTTTGTTTGAAACCACTTAAACTTATGCTTCTTACTTTCACTCTTAATTATTCTAGTGCAGTAGGGAAGTACATGGACTTTTAAAAAATTACTTTAAAACTTTGTATCTCTCTTAACCATCCAACAAGGTGAAATTGCTTGGGAAGCTCTGGTGGCATAGTGCCTATGGCATTTGACTGATAACCAGAAGGCTGGTGGTTCAAACCCACTAGCCACTCTTGGAAGGCAGGTTGGGCAATCTACTTCCATAGAGATACTGCCTCAGAAACCCAAGGAGGAGTCACTATGAGTTGAATCCGACTCGAAGGCAGTGTGTTTGGTTTGGTGTTTTAAGAGCCATGTCTTATTTATCTTTATATCCCCAGCATGGCAGGACCTTAAATGCTTATAGATCTCTAAATGCTAAAGGACACAGATGAAACTTAAGTCTAGGGCTAGACAAAATGTTCTCATTGGACTCTTCCAGATCTCTTTATGTCATTTTAATTTGAACCTTTGTCTGGTTCAGGTGATTAATAGTGTAGAAATTACCTTTCTCTGAAGTCTTTTCCTTAAAATAACCCATATTTTCTCAACCCTGGATCCGTATTAGAATGATTAGTGCCTAAGGCATTTGACTGCTACCAGAAGGCTGGTGATTCAAACCCACCAGCCACTCTTGGAAGGAAGGTTGGGCAATCTACTTCCAATATGGCCTTGGAAACCCAAGGAGCGGCCGCTATGAGTCTAATCCACTTGATGGCAGTGACTTTGTTTTTTTTTTTTTTTTCAGACACTACCTTATTGAAGTTGTCAGGGATTTCATTTTACTTGGGTCCATAGCCAACAACCATGGAAACAGCAGTCAGTAAATCAGATGTCATATTCCATTGGGCAAATCTGTTGCAAAAGAACTCATTAAAGTGTAAAAGAGCAGAAATGTCACTTAGGTGCGCCTGATCAAGCCCTAGTATTTTTAATCACCTCATATGCACGTGAAAGCTGGACAATCAATAATGAAGACCAAAGAAGAGTTGATGTCTTTGAATTGTGGTGTCAGTGAATAATACTGAAAATACTATGGACTGCTAGGAGAACAAACAATGCTCCTTGGGAATGAGAATGGCCAGACTTCATCTCATCTACTTTGGTCATGTTATCAGAAGGGGCCATTCACTGGAGAAGGATATCATGCTTGGTAAAATGGAAGGTCAGCATAAAAGGGGAAGGCCCTCAATGAGATGGATTGACTCAGTGGCTACAAGGATGGGCTCAAGCATAGCAAGGATTGTGAGGATGGTGTAAGACCCTGGGCAGTGTTATGCTCTGTTGTATGTGGGGTCTCTATGAGCCAGAGCTGACTTGACAGCACCTAACAACAATAACATCTACACAAACACTATCTTAGACCAATTGAATCAAAATCTCTGGGAGTGATCCCTGGCATCACATATTTGTGAAAAATCTCCTGAGCAGTTTTGAGTCCAAGAAGAGACTGTAAAACTTGCTCTTGAACATAAAGTAACTAAAGTGAAAGAAGAAGTGGAAAAGAGGTAAACAGAAGATTTAAAAGTGTGTCTCTAAAAGACAAAGTAAAGTATCATAATTAAATGTGCAAACACTTGGAAGTATAAAACCAAAAGGAGTGAATGTCATTGGCATTGCTCAAGCTGAAAAAATGAAAAAAAATTCAAATCTTGAGTTGCAACATTTAAAGATTCTACCACTCCTCAGAAGGCAGGTTGGGCAATCTACTTCCATAGTGATACCACCTCGGAAGCCCAAGGAGGGATTCCTATGAGTTGGGTCTGACTCAATGGCACATAACAACAACAACAACAATGGGCAAAACATTGAACAACACAGGAAGCATCAAAAGAACATGGAAAGAATACAGAAAGTCACTGTACCAAAAATAATTGGTTGGTGTTCTGCCATGTCAAGAAGTAGCATGTGACCAAGAACTAATGGTACTGAGGGAAGAAATCTAAACTGCACTGAAGGTATTGGTGAAAGACAAGGCTCCAGGAATTGATAGAATACCAACTGAGATGTTTCAACACACAGATACAATGCTGGAATCACTCTTCTATGCCAAGAAATGTGGAAGACAACTACCTGGCCAACCAACTGTAATAGATCCACATTTGTGCCATTACAAAGAAAGGTAATCCAACAGAATGTGGGAATAATTGAACAACATCATTAAAATCATGCACAAGTAAAAATTTATCAGAAATAACTAAAAAACTGTTGTGGCACTACATCACTGGGGAGCTAAAAGAAATTCAAGCTAGATTTAGAAGAGGATGTGTAATGAAGGATATCGTTGTTGATGTCAGATGGATTATAGCTGAAAATAGAGTGTACTGGAAGGATGTTTATCTGAATTTTTTTAACTATGCTGAGGTATTTGACTCTGTGGATCATAACAAATTATGCATAACATTGTGAAGAATGGGAATTCCAGACACTTAATTGCACTCATGTAGAACCTGTACACAGAGGAACAGAGCATTCATCGAAATGGAACAAGGGGATACTTCCTGTTTTAAAATCCAGAAACAGTTTGCTGCAGAACTGTATCATTTCACCATACTTATTCTATCTGTATGCTGAGCAAATAATCTGAGAAGGTGGACTACATGAAGAAGATTGTGACATCAAGATTGGAGAAAGACTAATAAAAAACTGCTATGTACAGATGAAGGAGCTCTGGTAGCATAGTGCCTAAGGCACTTGACTGCTAACCAGAAGGCTGGTGGTTCAAACCCACCAGCCACTCCTCAGAAGGAAGATTGGGCAATCTACTTCCATTGTGATACCGCGTTGGAAACCCAAGGAGGGGTCACTATCAGTCGGGTCCGATTTGATGGCACATAACAACAACAACATGTACAGATGATACACCCTGCTTGCTTAAAGTGATGAGGACTTAAAGAATTTACTGTTGAAGATCAGACTACAGCTTTCAGTATTACTTACATCTCAACATAAAGAAAACCAAAATTTTTACAATCAGACCAATAAGTGATGTCATGATAAACATAAAAGATTGAAATTGTTAAGGATTTCATTTAATTGGATACACAATCAATGTCCATGGAAGCAGCAAGTCAAGAAATGAAATGACATATCACATCAGGCAAATCTGCTGTAAAAGACCTCTTTAAAGTGTGAGAAAGCAAATATATCAATCACTTTGAGGACCAAGGTATGACTGACCCAAACCATGCCATTTTCACTTGCCTTATATGCATGTGAAAGCTGGACAATGAATAAGGAAGACCAAAGAAGAATTAATTCCTTTGAATTATGGTGTTGGCGAAGAATTGTGAATATACCATTGACTGCCTGAAGAATGAACAGCTCTCTGTCTTGGAAGAAGTACAGCTAGAAAGCCCCTTAGAAGCAAGAATGGCAAGACTTTGTCTCATGTACTTTGGGCATGTTATCAGCAGAGATCAGCCCCTGGAGAAGGACATGACACTTGATTAAGCTGGGAGTCAGCAAAAAAGAGGAAGACCCTCAATGAGATGGGTTGACACAGTAGCCACAACAATAGGCTCAAACATAGCAACATGTGAGGATTGTGCAAGACTAGACTGCATTTCCTTCTGTTGTCTGGGTCACTATGAGTTGGAACAGGCTTGATGGCAACTAACAACATCAACAGGGGGTTTGAATGTGTGTTTTTGTTAGAGTCAATTTTCTGTATGCACTTTATTGCTCCTTAACATCTATACCAGAAAGAACCCAAGAAGACAGAGTGGGAAATTCAGACATTTGCTCATTGAATAATAATTCTGATGAAATGTTGGTGGATTTCTCTGGTATTTTCAACAGCAGGAATCATTTTTTAATACCTGCAGCTTTATTCGTCTATCTTCTTGTTTATTATTTTCTCTAATAATCAGATTTTTTTCTTTTTTTCTTAAATCCCATGTTACAGAATTTAGCTGATTTCTGCTTAAGAAACTATAATGGAATTTAAACACAAAATTAGACCTTATTCTTTTTTTTTTCCCTAGATGGTAGATCATGCACTGGGACCCTTGCAGTGCACATTGAAGATGTGAATGATAATGCACCAGAAGTGGTTCAAAATTATCTAACAATTTGCAAACCAAAGATGGGCTATACTGAAATTTCAGCTGTTGATCCTGATGAAGTGATCAATGGCCCTCCATTTTCTTTCTCCTTGGAAAATGCTTCTCCAGAAATCAATAGAATATGGACCCTCACTCGAGTTAATGGTATTTAATTAAAAGCAAAGATTTATATATTTGGAATGAACAATAATGACTAGAGAATGGATTTACTTGTTTACTTACATAAAGCATACAATAAAATTGATTCTTATTAGCATATTTTAGAAAGGCTAACTTAACCTTTTACGTATATTGTAGTAGGCTGTGTTAAATTATATAGGTTATATAAAAGAATCCTCGGTGGAGGAAGTGTTAAAGCCTTGGCTGCTAACTGAAAGATTGAAGGTTTGAATCCACCCAGAGCACAAGGGGTCCCCATGAGTCAGAATCAACCCAACAGCAACCGTGTTCTTCTTCTTCTTCTTCTTTTTTTTTTTTTGTAATATATAAAAAAGAAAGAAATCAGGATTTTTATAATATATAAAAAGAAAGAAATCAGGCAAAATTTATCTTTACAGCAACCACAAGAAAACTTGTTAAAAGTATTTGCCAGCTAATCACTTATACACACGTTTTTGTTGTATTTTTTAAGTAACTCCACCAAGGTGAAGAGGGAACAGAAGGTGTGCAGTGTAAGTTGTATTGTAAGAAGATCCTGAAATGAGGGATTTGGTGTATGAGATAATACTCTGTGGTATCCCAAAATGAAATATGGTGGGATTTGGACAGACCCCCATAATGAGAGGCTTCAGGGACAGCCTCCTGTAACAGTGGTTGCTGGGAAGAGGGTATTTTGTATTTTAGCTATACTTCATTCTGCTGTTTAGTTAATACATCTTGTTCTTCTGTGCAGCTGGACTTCTGTGTGTGCTGTCTGTTCTGCCCTGAACACCTTTCAGTTTCTTAGCTTGGCATTAATTCATATTATTTTTGGAGCACCTGCTATCTACCAGGCACTGTTCTGGATTGAGGACATATGTAACCAGTTGTCATCAAGTCATCTCTAACTCATGGTGATTCCCTGTCTGTGAGAGTAGAACTGCACTCTAGAGTTTTTAATGGCTGATTTTTTAATAAGTAGATCACCAGGCTTTCTCTCAAAGCACCTCTTAATGGACTCAAACTTCAAGCTTTCAGTTAGCAGTCAGATGTGCTAACAATTTATACCACCTAGGGGCTCCTAAGGATAGAGACACACACACATGTACACACACACACAACACACACATGACTCCACCTCAGATGCTCACCCTGTATACCACCTTTCTCATTATATTATTGTCATCTGTTTACCTATCTCCTTCCTAGTTTTCCAGAATATTTTCATCTGTCTTTGCATTTCTGGCACTAGCACCTTGCTCAATGCTTAGCAGATACCAACTGCTTAATAATTATTTGTTTAATCAATAAATGATTAATATATATGCATAAAGGAAAGAACATATTAGGGAGACAGTGAAACAAAGTTGTTATAGCTTAGAAGTCTTCAGTAGGATTTTCAGGAGTTTTAGGTGGAAAAAAGGGTGGAATGTGGTGGTGAAGGGCCTTATGTGTGAGACTGAGATTGATCTTTGTAGTATATGTAACAGTAGGTATGCACTGGGAGTGTGCAAGTAAGACTGCCTTTACCACATTTAAATCTTAAAAAAGATGGCAGTAGTGACAGGAGGTCAACCTAACTTGAAGAGGACAGAGTTGAGTGGCAGGGAAAACTCAAGGCTCCTATACATCTATGAATGAACGAGACATGACTACGTCCTGTGCTCAGTTTATGGCCTTGAGACAGGAGAGGGATTTGGAGGATTTTGGTGCAAATGGGTAATGTGCTCAATCTTTAACCAAAAGATTGGCAATTGGAGTTTCCCCAGAGGTTCCTTGGAAGAAAATCCTGGCAACATGTTTCTAAAAAATCGGCTGTTAAAAACCCTAGAGAGCACAGTTCTACCCTGAGACACATGGGGTGGCCATGAATTGTAATGGGTTTGACAGCATTAATGTTGGTTATTCTAGACATGATATGATCCTGAAGGGCCCAATATAAGTCTCAATAGTAATTCACATTGCTCTGAGGAGCTCTTTAGTCTCAGGTATGAGGCATAGCTAGAGTCTGTCAAGTGGTAATGGCTATTATTATTAGTTAGAGCTGTAACTATGGATTTAAGCCAGCCTTGTTAGAAATTGCAGATGATTTTCAGAATGTACTTTATGCTACTTTTTCATTTCACTTAATACATTATAAAAACTGCAAATGGATGTGTTTGCCATTGAAAGTCTGTGAACTTTTGGTCAGTTGATACCAAAAACCCAAACTCACTGTGGTTAAGTCAGATCCAACTCATAGTGATGCCTCCTTGGGTTTCCGAGGCAGTATCATTGTGGAAGTAGATTGCCCAGTCTTCCTTCTGAGGAGTGGCTGGAGTGTTTGAACCATCAGCATTCTGGTTAGCAGTCAAATGTCTTAGGCACAACTCTACTAGAGCTCCCTGGTCAGTTGATGAAAAGACAATTAAAGTAAGATATAAAATTATTGATGAAAAATCACAGTTGACAAAATGTATGATATTATGATGATATAGATATAGCATGTATATATGGGTAAACCTTACAACTAGCTTAGATGACGTTGCTTAGCTTTTTAGTTTTGTGATTTCTTCCAGAGGTAAGGCATTGATTGTGAAAGATCCACTGTGGTTTGAAAAACTACATCAACTGTAAGGATAATGGTCAGATATCAGGAAGCAAATTGTTGAGAACGTGAGCTTAAGACATTTTTTGTGTGCACCTATAGGTGTTAATCCTTTATGAGTATCATAACCTAGCACTACAGCAAAGTGCTGGTAGTGTATGTTAAGAACTAGTCTGGCATCATTGGTTTGTATAGCTGTGGGAATATTCCATATTACTGAAATGCTACTGGGTGTCTCCAAAGCCAAATTATTTCTTTAAGCCTTTCTTATAAAATTTTATACTGAGTATAACATGTGTAAGTACTTATGTAATGAGTATCACACATATTAGTGCTTGAAAACATTGAAGATTGTTCTCCATTTATATTCATTTCCATGTTGCAGGCAGTACACTGAGAATCCTACTTTTAAAAATAAATGTGGTGAAACAAATATTAAGGGAGGAATAAATGATCATTGAAAAATCAATTGTTGTTTTCAGATACAGCTGCCCGTCTTTCCTATCGGAGTAATGCTTACTTTCAAGAATATAATGTTCCTGTTACTGTACAGGACAGAGTAGGCCAATCTGCAACAAAAAACTTGAGAGTCAATCTGTGTGATTGTGTCCATCCAAGTCAATGTCGAGCAGCTACAAGGAGTGGAGGAGGAATACGACTTGGAGAATGGGCGATCCTGGCAATATTACTGGGTGTAGCATTGTTATCTTGTAAGTCCTTTACTTACATCCTTGAAGGTAAAATGTAAAATAAAAGATATGAGAGATGGAGAATGTTTTTAAAGCATAATCTTGTCCAACCGTCCACCAGGTACAAATTTCTTTTGTATAATTATCTGAGTTCTGATTTTTTTTTTTCTGAGAGGAAAAATATTTTGTCTATTTCAAACTTGGACAGAACTGTTGAAAATTCCTTAGATTAAACCACGTCAGTCATTGTAATAGCTTTGATTTCTGGGTCCTTGTCTTACTCTTTTTAGGGTTAGGTAGAACAATTTAAACATCTTTAATATGAAAGTCCTCTAGAAGCCACTTTGAATTCTTGCTTTCTCTTCACCATTGAGACACAGACTTGTTTATGGGAGATGGTCAGATTGCAGCAATATTTCTTCATGGGTATATCCTATCATTTCTGAGGTCTGTTAACCTCTAGTTTTGTAGTTCCTGGTGACACCCCCTTTTTTTTTTTTTTTTTTTTTTTGTTTGTTTGTTTGTTCTTTTTATTCCTATCCAATTCTCTAAGCTATTTTAACTTTTTTTTTCTTCCATTTCCTTTCTGATAAATAGTGGTTAAGAGCCAGCCTCTGAATTCAGTTCTTTTGGGTTTGTACACTAGCTCTATGACTTGCAAGTGATATGACCTGGGGCAAATTACTTAACTGTGCTTTAGTTTTTTGATCTGTGAAAGGGGATATTTACAGCAACCTACTTTATGGTACAGCACTGAAGATGAAATGAGTTAATGCATGGGAAGGTCTTAGAATAGTTCATGCTAGGTTACCAATAAGTGTTGATTATTATTCATCAACTCAGCATAATATATGCATATTGAATACCTTTAATGCCAGAAACCCTTCCAGGTGTTTGGGATTCATCAGTAAACAAAATAGACAAAAATAAACAACTCTGACTTTGTGACAGTAAACTAATTAATACCTTAAGGGGTTGTTGTTGTTGTTTGCCATCGGCCCGACTCATAGAAACCCCTCCTTGGGTTTCCGAGGCAGTATCACTACGGAAGTAGGATTGCCCAACCTTCCTTCTGAGGAGTGGGGGACAACATAAATAGGATCAGTAGTGCCGTAGGGTGTGGAGTTAGGCGTGGTGATTGCAATTCTCAATTTTATGTGAGTTAGGCCTAACTGAGAAGGTGGTTGTTGAATTTTAGAAAATATGAGACAGTCAGATACATAGAATATTTGAAGGAAGAGCTTGCAGCTGGAGGGGATAGTCAATGCAAAGGCCCTAAAGTCAAAGTATACCTGGAAAGAATCAAGGAATGTCAGGAAGTCCAGATTGGACAGAAGGTAGTGGATTAGGAAGCTCAACCAGAAAGATAAGAAGGGGCCACAGAGAGAAGGCAGATGTTGGCATGCATTTTCTGTAAAGGATAAGATAGTAAATATTTTGAGCTTAACATGCCAAGAAGTCACAGCTGTAACTAATAGAATATGCCCTTTAGGAAAAGAGCAGTTTTCGAAATAATGTAAATGGTGGGCATGACTGTGTTTCAACTTGACTGCTAACCAGAAGACTGGCAGTTCAAACCCACCAGCCACTCCTCGGAAGGAAGGTTGGGCAATCTACTTCCGTAGTGATACTGCCTCGGAAACCCAAGGAGGGGTTGCTATGAGTCCGGGCCGCCTCGGCGGCACATAACAACAACAATATGGATACTGAAACTTGAATCTCATAAGATTTTCATATGCCATAAAGTTGTCTTCTTCTTTTGATTTAACCATTTACAAGTGTGAAAACAATTCATAGCTCATAGGAGATGCGAAAACAAGTGATGGGTTGGATTTGGATATGTAGTTTTTTGATTCCTGGGGTAGGATTTTGTAGGCCATTGTAAAGAATTGCTGTTGTTAGTTTTATTACTATATAGTTTCAATTTTCCACATTAATTTCTTGATGTGGAATTAAAATTCTGAATGAACAGGATACAAGCTATGTTCAATTAAGATACTTGAAGACAAATTTATTCTTAGGAAAATGTCTGTTTTGTTAGGTAGGCAAGTTATCTTTCTGAGAATAAACAAATCTTGTTGGAGTCTCTTTCTTAAATGTCCTTGATTTGTTTTGATTTGCTTTGTTTTTTACATACTATTTAACTCATCATTCTAAATACCTTAACATGATGAGTATTTTGTTTAGCTAGTATTGCTTTAATAGGAGATAACACAAATGGGATGGCTTTAGCAAAGAGAAGTTTATTCTTACAATTTTTGAAGGCTAGAAGTCCAAGTTCAAAGTGCCAGGCTCTAGGCGCTGGGTGAATTCCCTCAACCTTGGGCTTCAGCTCTGCTTCCTGCTCCTGGCCCACTGAAGCTGGAGGTTTTTCTTCACTTAGGCAGCTGGCTGCTGAGGCTGACAAAGTCAAGGTCAATAATAAAAAGGCACAGTCCTGATATTACCAAACAACACGGTAGCCCAATAATTCAACTCCAGAAAAAGTTCCAAGATTGGTAGAGCATGGCAGGCTACTGAACATTGACTTGGCTACATGTAGAGTTGAAGTGTGCCAAAAAGCTAGGAACCTTCCTCAAAGCTGCTTCTTATATACTAGAAGCAGATCATATTTCTAAACCAGCTACTCTGCTGCTCCAGTGTCTTCTACCATGGAAGTGATTGCCAGTTTCACCGTGGCCAATAACTGCATCCAGCTGCCCAGCCACTCAACCAGGCCCAGTCAAGTGGACACACAACCTTAACTACCACAATGGGCAAAATTCAAACTCTTAAGTATATAAATAATCTAAGCATACATATGATCATTTCAAATTTTAAAGTCTAACCTAAATCCTCATCTCCTCATTTAGGAAGGCTAAAGAATTAATGGGAAAACATGCTTAATAGATTTATTTCTCTCTGGTGACCTTTAATTCATAAGATATAAAGGATGATTATTTTATTCTCTGTATGTGAATCTTTTTTTCTTTTTTAAATTAAACTCAGGTGTATTGCTGACTTTAGTATGTGGAGTTGTTGGTACCAGAAAAGAAAAATGTTTTCCTGAAGATTTAGCTCAGCAGAACTTAATTATATCAAACACAGAAGCACCTGGAGATGATCGGGTGGTAAGTGTTGTATTTTTAAATGATTATTGATCTGTGAGTAGCTTCTATAATTTTTTAAATTTATCCTCATGAAGTTATTTTGAAATCTAGCAGTTAATTAATATTTTCAATTGGTTCAAATTTTGAGACCTAAGTATTTTTGTCTGCTGATATTCAAATATTTGTATAGTGGCATTTATTAAATTTTGTAAAACATATTTATTGTTTAATTTATATTTTATTTTTTTATACTTTATTGTTATGACTTTATGCTTGTCCTTTAAATTTGTAAATTTTTTATAATAATAATATTAACATTGACTGTTATCTACAATTACTATTTCTAGATATTTATATAACTATATATAACATTTATATAACTCTTCGCTTATTTAGAATAGAAAAAAAAAAAAACTTGCCAAAAGTTCTCAAGATAAAGTAGGAAAATATCAAAGAGTTATGTATAGATAAAAGAAGAGGTTGGAATAAACAAAATTACTGCCACTCTCTTTCCTAATATATTTCTTGATGGACTGTTAGGTGATCAACACTAAACTGCTTGATTTGTAGAAAGGACACAAAAAAGTATTTAAAAATATACAGAGCCACTGTACCCAAAGAAATTGGTCAAAATTCAGTCATTTCAAGAGGTAGCATATAATCAAGAACTTATGGTATTGAAGGAAGAAGTTCAAGCTTCAATGAAGAAATTGGTATTAAAAAAAAAAAAAAAAAAGCTCCAGGAATTGGCAGAATATCCATTGGGGTGTTTTAACAAACAAACGCAATTCTGGAAGTCTCTACTTGCTTATGCCAAGAAATTTGGAAGACAACCACCTGACCAACCTATCCCAAAGAAAGAAAGATGATTTGACAGAATGCGGAAATTATCAAATTATATCATTAATATCATAGGCAGATAACCCACTACCATCAAGTCAATTCCAACACATTGTGACCCCATTGGGTTTCCATGGGTGGAAAACTTTATGGAAGTAGACTGCCTCATCTTCCTCCAATGGAACAACTGGTGGATTTAAACCTCTGGCCTTCTGGTTAGCAAACAAATGCCTTACCTTCTATGCCACCAGAACTCCTTCATGAAAGTAAAATTTTGCTAAAAATATTTTTTTAAATGGTTGTAGCAATACATTGACAAAGAGATGCCAGAAATTCATGCTGGATTTGGAAGAGAATGTGCAATGAGATATATCATTGATAATGTCAGATGGATTGTGGCTGAAAGCAGACATACCAGAAAGATGTTTACCTGTGTTTCATTGACTATGCAAAGGCATTTGCCTTTGTGGAACATAACTAACATTTCAAAGAACGGCAATTCTGGAACATTTAATTGTGCTCATGAGGAACCTGTACAAAGACCAAGAGGCAGTCATTAGAATAGAACAAGAGATAGTGCATGATTTTAAATCAAGAAAGATGTGCATAAGGGTTATATCCTTTCACCATACTTATTCAGTGTGTTTGCTGAGCAAATAATCTGAGAAACTGGCATCAGGATTGGAGGAAGACTATGAACAACCTGAGACATAGAGATGCCATAACGTTACTTTGCTGAAAGTGAAGAAGACTTGAAGCACTTACTGATGAAGATCAAACACCTTCAGTATTGATTACATCTCAACATAAAGGAAACAAAAATCCTCCCAACTGGGCCAATAAGCAGTATCATGATAGGAGAAAGGATTGAAGTTGTCAAGGATTTCATTTTACTTGGATTCATAATCAATGCCCTTGGAAGCAGCAATCAAGACATCAAACGTCATATTGCGCTGGGTAAATATACTGCAAAAGACCTCTTTAAAGTTTTAAAGAACAAATATGTCACTTTGAAGACTGCGGTGCCCCTGACCCAAATCATGGTATTTTTGGTTGCCTCATGAGCAAGTGGAAAATGCATGATAAATAGGGAAGGCTGAATAAGAATTGATGCATTTGAATTATGGCAGTGACAAAGAATATTGAATATACCATGGACTTCCAGAAGAATGAACAAATCTGTCTTGGAAGAAGTATAGCCAGAATGTTCCTTAGAAGCAAGAACGGCCATACTTCATCTGTCATACTTTTGTCATGTTATCAAAAGGACCAGTCCCTGGAGAAGGCTATCATGCTAGGTAAGGTATAAGGTCAGTGAAGGAGGGGAGGACTCTCAATGAAATGGATTGACACAGTGGGTACAATGACAGACTCAAGTATAGCAACAGTTGTGAAGATGATGCAGGACCAGGCAGTGTTTTGTTCTGTTGTATATAGGGTTGCTGTGAGTTGGAACCAACTCTATCGCTCCTGAGAACAACAACAACATATAAAAAAGTACTTACAAGCCATGTTTTCCCCTCAAAAAAATTTAAATTTATACTTGCAAAATAGATTTTATGTAGAAATAGATTATCGCATCATTTGGGGAAAAGATAGATGAGGAAGTGGCAGTCAGCCATTAGCACCACTATGATAGAGTACTGTCAGATTACAAAAATATTCATGTCATCTGGATCCAACAGAAAGGCCTGGTGAAAGAGGTGTAGCTTACTCTGTAACTCAAAGAATAATAAGGGTTTGAAAGTGAAGAAATGGTGGGAATAGTTAAAAGGCGGAAAGCAGCCTAAACATGGGAAAGAAGATGACTAAGCTTAGGATTTATTAAACAAACAGTAAATAAACTGGTTTGGAATGTAAGAACTTATGTACTGGAATAGAGCTTGAAACTTGTTAGATGTTGAGGGGACAGGACATAAGAGAGGAGTGAGGGTATGTGTGAAGGTTTTGTATGCTACACTAAGGAGTTGGGACTTACTCACTTGGTAAGAGAGAGCAAGGCAAGGCTTTTCTGCAGGACAGTGACATAATGGGAGCAGTGTGAGACTGAGCCAGTAGGGTGATATAGGAATAAGAAGGCATTAGGGATGGAGAAGATAACGGATTAAGGTCTTTTGGTAGCTTAAGCATAAAGTAACTCTGTTAGAACGATGGTAATTGAAATGTTAAAATCAAGATATGAAATATTTGAAAGGTAGAAATGATAAGGTTGTTGGTTGATGGAATTTGAGGGATAAAGCAAAAAATAAACTCAGAGTGAAAGAAGCTGTAACCAGGGAGAGTGGCTACCTAGCAACTGTTTTTTGTATTTTGAATATATATTTTGTATTTTGGGTATGTATTTTTTTTTATTTGTTTGATTTTTAGGAAGACTTTTCTCATCTACTATTTTTCTCTTCCACCTCCTCCCCACTACCTTGCAAAATCATAGCCCATATATATCTGGCATTTCTACACATGAGACACTGTGATTATTTCTCTAAACGGAAAATAGTTTTAGTCACTTATAGTCCTTGGCTAATATAATAAGTTCTTATCTTCTATCTGAGAATGCAATGATTAAACTATGCTTAGTATTAGTTCTTTGCCATTTAATATGAGAGCTGATGCCATTGATTTTGCTCCTTTACCATATCACGCTCAAAGATATTTACCTTTCCTCTGTTAATAGTACTTCTTAGAAGGGCATGGAATTATTAATTTATACCAGAACATAATTTTAGACATATTTGTTTAAAAATATAGCAAAATTCCATAGCAAAGATATAAACTCCTTTTAATATACTGAGTAAAAGTGATGACTTTAGTGTTGGACTTAGGTTTAAGTTATAAGGCATTCAGATGGGGCAAGGAATTGGGTGAAAAATCAGAACTAGAAAAATCAATCTGGAAATCATTGACATAGATAAGGAATAATTATTAACATTAATAAGAATCAACTTTGGGGAGTACAGACGGATGTGGGCAGGAAGGATGTGTTCTTTGTTGTTAAACAGAGCACTGTGGGCTGAGCCTCAATTTCATTTTAGTTTTATCTCTTTCCTTTAGGTTAGAAATATGTATCCATATGAGCACATAATTATTATGACTAAATTATAGTGTCAAGGAGATTTGATATGAGGATTTTTTTTTTTTTTTGAAATAAAATTTTACTGTATCTGCCACCTAAAGAAAATAGTGTAGTAGCACTGCCGCCAAATGGCTACTTTTCATTTCTCTTTTCCGGTATCTTTTTCGAGACAATGAGATTGTAAGCATGATTTTTGTAGATGTATTTAAGGACTGAGAAGTCATCTGAACTCAAACATCCTCCAGTTTAGTTAGACTTTGCATAGTAGATGTAAAAGGTATCAATGTGATTAAAAAGTGACACAATGAAGCCTGATTATAATGGAGGTTCTTATCATGAAAGTAAAGATTTATCATTAGAACTGATATAATGAGATTACTGTTATAGCTAAACTTTTGGCCTGTGACCCAGAGGATTGGTGTGAAGTCTCTCTCTTTCTCACTCACTTGCTTTGAACTCTATGTGTGAGCAATTCTCAACTGGCCAAAGTATGTACTTCATTTGCCTTGTTCAGCAGATCCTCATGCAGGTAGTGCGTTTCTACTCCCGTTCCTGGTCTTCAATCCTTGAGCTCCGAGAATTTCCTGAATTCCACTCCACTCAGTGTCTTTGGGTTTGAATTTTAATTTTCTTCATCTGTGCTCTTCTAATATCTATAGGCTTACCTATGTATCAGAGTAATCACACTTTTTTTTTTTTTAACTGATTATCTCTTTTTCTGCCACATTGGAATATAAGCCTCTTGAAGTCACTGATGGTCTATGTGTTGGTATATTTTTGTATCTCTAGACTGAGCACAATATTGGAAACAGAAATGTGTGTTGAATGAGCAAATGAGTAAAAAGAATTAATACTCTTTCTCTCTTGCCTTCTTTTGACTTTGCTTGGAGTCTGTTTTCTCCCAACCTATTTGGTCTTTATTTTATTTCAGTGTTCTGCCAATGGATTTATGACCCAAAGTGTTAACAACTCCAGCCAAGGCTTTTGTGGTACAATGGGATCAGGAGTCAAAAATGGCGGGCAGGAAGCCATTGAAATGGTGAAAGGAGGACACCAGACCTTGGAATCCTGCCGAGGGGCAGGACATCACCACACCCTAGAGTCATGTAAGGGAGGTGGACACCACACACTGGATTCCTGCAGGGGAGGAGGACACTTGGACATGGAAAATGGCAGATACAGTTACTCGGAGTGGCATGATTTTACTCAGCCTCGTCTTGGTGAAGTGAGTTTCCCTAAATGTTTTGACTTAAAAGTTTAAATGTTCAGGTGGAGAACAATAGGAAATGGAAATTTTCAGAGACTACTTTTCTATAGTTTTGATGTATTTTTTTTTCTCTCTCTCTCAATTTGTGTCTTTTTCTCACTGTCTGTGGTCATCGCCCCCCCCGCCGCTCTTTGACTCTGTTACATTATTTAATTTAAATGAGATTTTATTTTATCTATTATATTTCACTTAATTTCTAAAACCCCATAAAAATTGGAGGTTTCTAATATCCTTCACTAAGCTACATTTTATATCAGGTGTGTGTTTTTCTCATGAACTCTTTTAAGATAGAAGAATATGAAAAAAATTACTAGACTTCAATATCATAAAACTTCCCAAATGAAATCTGCATTTCCATGTGAAAACACATGCATCTATAAATAATTCTAGGATGCAGATTAAATACTAGGATGTGTATGAATTATTTTAATGGATAAAACACCATGAAAATTTAAAGTGCTTTGATTCAGAGGAAAGCAAGAATGTGAAAAAAAGAAGGGTTCTCAGTCCTGGAAGCACATCAGAATCCCCTGGGAAGCTTTTCCAGAATAACGCCTGTGCTGCATACTGAATGATTTGGATTCAATTGGTCTGTTTTTTAGATAAAACTTTTAAAAGTAATTTAAATGCACAGTTATGATAGATAACTACTGAATTAAATATTCATTCTGGTACTAAGCTTTTCATCTCTTTTATTAGAGGATCACTGTAGAACAAATCCTGAACAAGAAGTCTTTATTTCTCTGATGAACAACCAGGTTGCCAGTTGCTGTGGAGTCAGTTCTGACTCACGGTGACCCCATGTGTGTCAGGGTAGAATGTGTTCCTTCGGGTTTTCAATGGCTAATTTTTCGGAAGTAGATCATCAGGTCTTTCTTTCAAGTCCCTCTAGGTGGACTCCAACCTGCAGCCTTTCAGTTAACAGCTGAGTTTGTTAACCATTTGCAACCCAGGGACTGATGGAGTATAAATGGGTAATATTCTGTGATATGGGTGTGATTTATCTTATGTCCCTAGCATAGATTTTTGTCGAATTCAAACGTTAATCCATTTGCTATTTCTAGACAGTAGGTATTCATGTATTTTCAGGTTAAGAAGGAGAGAAGCTTAAGAAATATTTATAAGAGTACTATTGATACACATCAAATAATGAGAAGTGAGAATATAAACAATCTTGAAGAAGACACTTAAGCCAAGCAAATAACCTCTGGTGTAGAAAAGGGGTCAGCACAGGGTGAGAAAAGGGAGGAGGCATCAAAGTTCAGGAAATTGACAGAAAGGCCAGTGGTAAAGCAATTCAGGAGAAAGTGGCTGACCACTGTGCCTCTCCATGATAAATCCCAGTTTTTACAATGAGGTTCATGGTGATTTTTGTTTGTTTGTTTTAATTTCATCAGTGTGTGTGTGTCTATGTGTGTGCATCTCCATATTTTGTCATGTTTGACTGTCTTGGAAATTTGATTCTGAAGCCAATGTGGTAATTCTGACTCACTTAATAACACCTAGTTTTACGTACTACCAGTAAAAAATATATAATAGTGATATAGGTTAAACATTCATTGTACATTTACTATGTGCGGGAATACGTAGGTTATTTTTCATGCATCATTATTTAATCATTTAATTTCCAGAATAATCCTGCATTCCCATTTTAGAGCTGAGAGAAGTAAGACTTAAAGATGTTTATTAACTTGACCAAAGTTATGTAGTTATTTGGTAAAGGCAGACTATGATTTCAAACCTTGACTGACATGCAAGCTCAAATTCCTAATCATGATATATATTTTCTTCATTGTGTGGAAAAGCTTGACTCTAGATATACAATTTAAGGGATAAACATTGAGTGATAACTTAAATGTACTTATAGTAAAATTTCTATGCATAACTTTTATTTGTGTGTGTTACTAGGATTGTAAAATATACTGGCTTTATGGTATGGTTATGATATAGACCAATCCTGTGCATTTTTTGTATGTAGGAAACCATTAGAGGACACACTGATTAAAAATTAAACATAAAAGGTAAATAAAAAATAAATTTTCTGTTTATATGTTTGTGTATGTTTAAACCGGTTATACAATCCATTTTTTTTATTTTCTAGAAATTGCACCTGTGTAATCAGAATGAAGGCCATATGCAAGCTGAAGATTACGTCCTTACATATAATTATGAAGGAAGAGGATCTCCAGCGGGATCTGTAGGTTGTTGCAGTGAAAAACAGGAAGAAGATGGACTTGACTTTTTAAATAATTTGGAACCTAAATTTACTGCATTAGCAGAAGCATGCAAAAAATGATAATGTCACCATGTTTTATTTGTCACAGATTTTGGAGGATTCCAAAAGAGGGATATTTTATACTTCAAATTTTACACACACATACACCCATGCATGTTCATTATATATACAGTTTAATGAATTTTTCTAAATTTTGAATTATTCTAGTCACCAATTTGTATATTTAAAGCAATTTGTTTGCTAATCTTTTTTGAGATACAGACAATATTAAAGAAGATCTTGGTTTCTTTACTGCCAAGTTAAAAAGACAACTCACCATCTATACCAGTTGAATTAAGGTCTATGAAGGACCTACTCTTCTTTACAGATATTTTCCTAACAAGTATGTTGGTTTAATAGTCATCTTACAATAGTTAAGCTTATGCTTGATTTAACATCATAAAACTAGTATCTGGGCTAGAAATTCTAGTCTTGTTTCTGATTTAGTTGTAAGTGGGATAGGAGTATTTCTAATACTGTAGTAAATTACGTTGGATTTTTTTAGCTTGAAAACTCAGAAGCACTTAGTAGCTCTTGACTAATTTTACTAGAATTTTGTTTTCTTTCTGGATGGCAACAAGGTCACAAAGAACAGCGTTATCTGATTATTCTAGTAAATTCTCAAAAATACATAGCTACAAATTGAAACTACATCAGGAAAGTGTAATTGAAAATATGTATTGTTCTTATGAGTTTGAAGGTGCATTTTGTGGTTTACAGAAGGATTATAATGGGGAGTATATCTGTTTCCTTATTCTCAAGAAACAAAACCATTGTCACCATGTTGTTGTTAGGTGCCATTGGGTTGGCACCAAATCATAGCAATGCTATATACAACAGAATGAAATACTGCCCAGTCCTCTGCCATCCTCACAGTCCTTGCTGTGTTGAGCCCATTGTTGCAGCCACTGTGTCAATGCATCTCATTGATAACCTTCCCTTTTTTCACTTTCTACTTCCATAATGATACCGCCTCAGAAACCCAAGGAGGGTTTGCTATGAGTAGGATCCGACGCCATGGCAGTGTGTTTTGTTTTTTGTGTTTATACTTTACCAAGCGTGATATCCTTCTCCACGGACTGTTCCCTTCTGACAACATGATCAAAGTAGGCGGGACAAAGTCTGACCATTCTCGCTTCTAATATACATGGTTATTTTAATTTAAAAATATTAAAGCTCTTCTATAGAAGTTGGAGCCACAAGTCTTAACAATTTTTTCTCTGAGATTCAGAACTGCTACTGACAACTTACCAGTAATGAAAATTGTTTTGAGAAAAAGATGCTTTTCTTTTCTTGAGGGTTGAAATTTCATATTTTCATTTGCAAGATTAGCATCTATGGCTCTTTGTTTTGTCTCAATAGTAGTCATTTGCAGTTAGAACAGGGTATCCTTAGATGAATTGGTGATTACAACCAGGTAGTCTGTAGAAACAGCTTCTAGTCATAGAGGTATGAGTAGCAACAAGGGATGAACATGCATTTCCATTCACTACCATTTTCAAATAAAACATTTTATATTTACAACAAATATTTATATATTATATTTATAACAAGTATAATTTTATTAAAGTAGGTAAGTATTACACAATTCTGTATATCAAAATAATACAGAGAAGCCTAACACTCAGGTACAATTTAATAATTTCCAAAATTTTGCTTAAGTTTCTTCTCAAATTTGTTCATGTGATATAGTCCCTGAAAGACCTTTCATAATACCCCCAAAAAATGGATATTTAAAGTTAAAATGATGAATACTTGATTTTTTAATAAATCTGATATGACATTATTGTGTATTAACCACTGCCATTGAGTGGATTCCCACTCATAGCAACCCCCATTGGATTTCTGAGGTGGTAAATATTTATGGAAGTAGATTGCCCCATCTTTCTTCCACAGAACATCTGGTGCATTTGAACCCCCAACCTTCTGGTTAGCAGTCAAATGCCATAGGCACTCTGCCACCAGAGCTCCTTCAACTTTTAGTGACAGTTCAAAATTAGACAAGAGGTATTAGATATCCCTATTTGATGGAAATTTTGGGAGAGAAACAGTGAAGACTAAATTAAATTAATATTTTTTCAGCTATGAAGAATTGAGGCCAACAACCCCTCCTCACCATCATCCACATACATAAATTCTTCCTTTGTCTTTGGAGGCAAGAATGTGTTGAGATAGCTGAGATAGCCTACAGAATGGCAGTTTTCTATAGGAATAGAGTTTGAAAACTACTATTAAACTTTTAATTAATACAGTATTTAAAATGAAAACAAAGGAGAAATAAAAGAGAGATTAAAATGAGGCCACAATCTGGTTTGTCCTACAATTGAAATCCTGGGTTTAAAAGAGAGCCTCTTGTTCCTAATTGCTGAGTGGTAATTACATATCAGGAAACAGTTGATGTATGTTTGTGCAATTTGTTTAAAATGGTATACAGCTAAGTGAAATTTTAGGGACTCTGGTGGTGTAGTGGTTAAGAGCTTGGCTGCTCACTGAAAGACTGGTGGTTTAACCCACCAGAAGGACGTGGGAGCCTATCTCAGTAGGAAACCCTATGAGGCAGTTTTATTCTGCCCTATGGAGTTGCTATGAGTCAAAATTGACTTGATGGCAGTGATTTTTTTTTTTTTTTTTAAATAAATCCTTCTTGGTTTCATGGGAAGAAAAGAGGAAACTAGGTGGGACAATAAATTTGTTTTGCAGTCGCCTTAAAGTTTTCTGCATCCACCAATTAGGAACAAGCTGGGGCTTGTGACAGTATTCGCTCTTTTCAGGTGGCAAGATTCCAGGTACTTTTCTTGGGAGTTAATACCAAAAACTTCTGTTAAGCCCTCTGTCACCATTTTCTTTCTCCTATCTACCAACCTTACTTTTATGTAGAGTCAAATAGTCATGTCTCTCAGTCAGATTTTGGAGGATAACTAGGGAGCTCTGGTAGCATAGTGGATAAGACACTTGCCTGCTAACCAGACGGCTGGTGGTTCAAACCCACCAGCCACTCCCCGGAAGGAAGGTTGGGCAATCCTACTTCCGTAGTGATACTGCCTCGGAAACCCAAGGAGGGGTCGCTATGAGTCAGGTTTGACTCGACGGCACATAACAACAACAACAACAACTGGTGCTAAAGGGAAAATATTGCTGAAGGGATTGACTGGGGAATAGGTATCCTGAGTCCCTAGCCACAAACCCCTCACTTCTTGCACTGTGTTCTCATCAGAGCCTGGAGACTACAATATTTTATTTCCCAACTTATTGCATTGTTTTAAAGTGGCATTGGTGTGATTCAAGGAGACCAAGCATTCCATTTAGGCCCCCTTTAATATCTCTCTCAACATTGTCCATAACATCTTGAGCAGAGATTTCCTTATTTTACAAAATACTCCAGGCCCAAGTTGTCCATCACTCTTCTGTGTGAATTAATATATTTTTTTAAATTTTTATTGTGATTTGGGTGAAAGTTTACAGAGCAAATTCATTTTCCACATAGCAGCTCACATACACTTTGTATCATGACATTGACTACAATTTCCCACAATGCAACAGCTCCCCTCCCACTTCCTCCCCATAGTTACCTCTTCCCTGTGTCTTTCTTTCTCATGCACTCCTGACTCCCTGAGCTGTCTCCCTCTGCATACACAACCCTTCTATTCTCCTATGATTGATCTCTCCAGGGAGTGTATCTACCTAATGAAAATGTTCAGCTCATATGCCTGTCTTTTGTTTGGCTAGAAGCCACAGGATTGGGTTCAATTCCAGACCTGGGCCAGCTAGGGGCCATCATCTCAGTGGTTCCATCAAGATCCATCAGACTAGCAAACCTGGTCCCTTTTTCTAAAAAATAATGATTTTTAAATCTGATCTCATAGTCACATAGGCTGAGGATCACATGGTGTACCAGTCTTTTGGACTAATTGTTTCCATGCATCTTTGGTTTTCTCCATTCTTCTTTGTTCTGGATGAGGAGACACACATTGTTGCACCTAGATGGCCCTCACAAGCTTTTAAGATCCTAGTCACTACTCGCCAAAGTTGGATGTGGGATGATGTTTTGTGTAGTATGTTATGCCAATTAAGCTTGATGTCCCCAGTGACTATGGTCCTGAGCCCACAGGTCCAACTATTAACTCCCTCTGAGTAGCTGGCTGTAGTCAAGAAGTGACTACAACCTTGTCCTTTGTCAGCTCTATTATATACCTGGACATTCCTACAGAACATACCAATACACTTGTAGAAACATTGTCTGCCAACCCTATACATGGTCATGGGCACATTCCCCCCTGTATAGACATACCTAATAGTTCAGCATGTCCACCCATCTATCCACCCATTTATCAATGTTTGCTTTCATTGACAAAGCAGTTCTTTATGTGCAAAAGGGTTCATCTTTGTTGTCTATATTTCCCATGCATCTCTCTATGTCTTCCTCTTCCTCAACGCCACTGGGTTGATCACTCACATTTGGTACATTGTCCTTCTCTTCACCCAAATCAATACTTGTCTATACCTTTCTAACCGTGTTCCCTCTTCTCCCCTCCCATCCCTGGTAACCAACAAAGAAAATTTCTTTCCATATACAAACCTTTCCTTGACTTTTTACAATAATGGACTAATAGAATATTTGTTCTTCTGTGATTGACTTATTTCACTCAGCATAATGTCCTCCAAGTTCATCCACATTATGCGGTGTTTTGCAGACTCTACATTATTTTTTAGGGTTGCATAACATTCCATGATGTGTATGTACCATAGTTTGGCTATCCATTTTTATGTTGATGGGCACCTAGGTTGTTTCCATCTTTTTGCTATTGTAAATAGTGCTGTGATGAACATGGGTTCTCCTGTGTGAATTTATTTTATCAAATAGTTTTCTTAAGAGGATTTTTAAAATAATAGAATAACTAGGAATTTTGATTGCATGATAGAAAAACATAGAGAGGTAATTTGGGAGTACAGGGCACTTTGGACAAGGTAAGCCCACATGGGGGTATCTGGACAGAGAGAAACACCCAAATGTTCCCTTCAAG